ACGAACGTTCCGGGCAAGATATGGCACGATAATGACGATAAGAGCAAACAAACAATTAAGTTTCACGAGAACCATGAAATAAAAGACTTAACATCAAATAGACACCTTTACGAGTTTAAATCTCCCGCTCGAAAAGACATTGCGCGGGAAACTCCAACAGAAATCAATGAAATTTCGTCTGGGGAAGAACGAGGGAGCTATTGCCAGCAGAATCTCTGCAAATCGTTACCGAATTTATCGTTTTCTGTGCAAAATAATTATCACATCGGGGAAAAGAGCTCTCCGTGTAAATATAGGATCGAGTCCAGGGTGAAATTCCACGAAAATCCCAAATGCTTTGCCTCTCAAAACGATCTGAAGAGTCTTCCGCAGAGCTTAGCCTTGAGAAGAGTGAAGATCACGAATGTTCCAGCTCCTCTGGATCTGTCCAAGGTGAACGAGAGGTACGAAGAGTTGGAGGCGTTAGAAAATGTTAACGTGTCCCTTATTCGCGATTACGATCGTCCTCTGAAGGGACTGGCGACAGTGATCAAGGACGAATGCTCCGATGACGACAGTTTCAGAGAAAATTCTTCTTCCTCATTTCGAGAGAGATTTACGACGAAACGAAAAGATGGAAAAGAAGACGAATGGTCGATGACGAAGGAACTGCTCTCGCCGCAGCTTGTGAACAGTTCGAAAAACTCTGTGATCGATCCGCAAACGGGCACAGATCTACAGAGGTCACGGCTAGCTGAGTTGACCAGGGCTTTGTCCGATCAGTTGAATTCGATCAGTGGAGCTTCCGGGACCGGAACCACGCTTCCTTCGGTTTACGGACCGATTCCATACAGTCAGTAAACATGCACATAATACGTATTTCGTGAACTTGTTCTCTTCCTATGACTGACCTTCCTCCAAAAATAGTTGCGAGTGGTTGTAGAAATTGATTTTAACGGGGCAACGATTTATTTCAAGCAAATAAACGTGCGTATAATTGTTAGTGAAATCTTTGGTAAAATACTTAAATCAGATAGAAACGAAATTGAATCTAAAGTTTCGAACGAATGACAATATGTGTATGCAAATGAAATGAATGTTCTTCCTATCAGTGATCTTCTTTGGTGAAATAATATAATTTCAAATTACAAAAATAAAATTTTTATTTATTTTATACATATACATAATATTGCAAAGTAATGACTATAGTTGGACGATTTTATGTAGTTTAATTACGCCATTAAGAACAGTAATGAAGAACTGCGTGTAATATGATAATTAAATAATGAATAATAAGAATATTAACCACTTTTGGTCTGTTAACTAGGATTACTGTTGACTTTGACGGCGGATAACATAGTTTAATGTTTTTTTAAAACACAATATGAATGATTTCATGAATTCTCGTAGTAATAAATATGTTCCAATAATATTAAACAATAATAAATATTTTTATGGGAATTAACTATTGATTTTTGTAAATGAGAATAAGTAAACACTTCTACTTCAAATCCGTATATAAATAAAACTAAATTTATATATTTATAAATATTTAGGGTAACCGCACGTAATATAGAGACATCCAAGATTTCGACAAATAAGTAACGAAATATACCAACCAGCATGTACAAATTACCCCATAACTAAAAGACAGCTATATTGACATTTGAGCTTCAGTCAAAAATGCGCTGTGGAAGGGAAAACATGTTTGTTTTAGAAGGTACTCAAAACTTTCTGAGAGGCGAGTCAAGTAGATCAATTTTGTTCTGAGTATTCAAAAATATTACCTTTGTATGATTTATGATTAAATATGTTTGTTTTGATTGTTCAAACGTGTTTACCGATAAATTTATTTCCTTCTGACTACAATAGTTACTTTCCTGTCGAAGCGCGTGGGTGGTGAATATGAAACAAGTTTTATATTAATATTATATATTATTATATATTTTTGTTATATAATAATTTTTCGTGCAAGCAGTACTCTAACTGTTGAAAAACGGTTAAAAATAGTAGGAATATCTACAATTTTTTAGCTGTTTTTAAGAGTCTAATAAAAAAAAGTATTCATCCAAAATTTATCTATTTATATGAACAACATACCGATCACAAACATTGCGAAAATACATTTTTTCTATAGTAAACCAAAGGTCACCTTGAGGTTTTTAAATGGAACCATACAATTCTTTCCGTTACATTGTATGGGACATTGAGACTAATTCAACCAGTAGAAAATATGACACTTTTATTTACACAATACTGAAACAATAATAAAAACAATAGACCGGATAAAAGCACAGAGTCGAAGCGTGCTACGCATCTGTCGTTTCGTGAGCCATCGTACGCTTTTCCCATGTCCACTGTTGTAATTCAATATTGCGTAAATAAAAATGTCACATTTTCTACCGGTTCAATTCGTTTTAATGTCCTCTGGAATATAATGGAACACAAATTATATGACTGTAAAATTTTTTAATGCTTCTAAAGTTTTTCGAAAATTCCTAGATTTTCCATATTAGATATCATTTTTACGAATCGTCAATACTGGCTTTTTTTTTAATTTTTTGACTATAATTTCAAAAGATTGAAATGTTTATATTTTTAACTACGTACATGTGGTTTGATTAAAAAAGCCGTTTTTCCATTTTTGGCAAGCTTTCAAAATCGAGTGTTCCATACTACGTAAGGTTATCCTATTACTAAAAAGGTGCATCGTGTATGAACCCGAGATCAGTGATTTACTGATTTTTTCGTTTTCTAGTTATGTATCGATTCTTTCGTTTTCAAGTTATATATTTGCCAAAAGCAAAGTGACGTTCTACGACTTGAGTGATTTCTCTATTGATTAACTACTAACTCTACTAATCATAAAACTGTTTCTGTGTATAATGTAGTAACAAAGGTACAAACACATTTCACAAAATTTAAATAATTAGCGTGATCTCGCGTGCATGTAGATCAGCATTCTAGATAAGCTAGTACAGCGATACACGATATGCAGATACACGTCTCCCGTTTCGCGAGTGTTATCTTACAGAACATGAGATTTCAGAGTCTGAGCGGTAAATAATTACGATTATAATATCATGAATGTCGACTAGAAATTCCATTCGTAATTATATTACGTTCATTTTTCATGATTAACCAGAATCGTTTTTAGAATTCATTACGAGAAGTACAATACATAAATGATGTAACGTGGAAATTTACGATCATTTCGCTATTTTTAAGTAATTATTAGCTGTACATTTAAGTTTGATTATTAACCAGAAACGAAAGGAGAAATTTTATATACAGTGGCAAGCGAAATATTTGCACGCTCAGGTCATTTACACTAAGTATATTGTACAGATCCAGACTTGCACAGAGTGAGTTATTTAAATCGGTTCCCTCGAATACATACAATGGGCGACAAAAGTATTCGTACACCCTTTAAAACGGAACAACTTTTTTCAAATTGGTTCAAATGACTTGAGTTTTTTTTGTAAAATTAGGAACATTAGTTTACTAAATGAAGTGTAAACTAATTTGAATAAGTTGCAATTGGTCTGAATCGCGAAGAAAATAGAAAAGGTCGCTTTACAACTGTTTAATCTGAGGCTATAATGAAATTTCAATAAATACATATCGAAGATTTATGTTAGTTATATACATACTGAAACCTACATTGAAATCGGTTGATACAGAAACGAGCGACAGGAATAAAAAAATGTAAGAATTGTTACATTTACCATAGTTGCAGGTTGGAAGTCGTGAAAAACTGTGATTATCAACATTTTTAATTGTTTGTATCTCGTAGCAATGTTAATCGATTTTGATGAAATTTTCAACATATGTATAACTAACATAAATCTTAGATCTGTATTTATTAAATTTTCATTACAGTCTCAAATAAAAAAGGTTGTAAAAAGCAACCTTTACTACTTTCTTCGCGTTTCGGACCAATTGTAACTTTTTCAAATTTTTTTACACATCATTTAGTAAACTAATGTTCCTAACTTCACAAAAGAACTTAAGTCATTTGGACTAATTTTAGAAAAATTGTTCCGTTTTAAAGGGTATACGAATACTTTTGTCCCCCACTGTATCTTCGAAATCTTTGACGATACCGAATAATATTCCAAATAAGAATTGAATGTTTTTTTTTGGAGGGGGATGGGGCGGATAATTTGACGTTAATAGTATTTTGTTGATGGACGCGTAGGTAACATGTGAAGGTCAAATTTGTTATTTTTTTCAATGGACTCATATATTTCATAATGGATTAGTTGATGCAGCTCGTTACGCTCTATAAGAAATTATTAAACTATTTATGACGAATTATCATTAGTTTAGGAGATATTTTATTTTCAAAATTGCGAAGCGGTACTAGTAATATGATTTTCACCCCCTTAAAATTAATATTCAAAAGTACGTCCTTTTGTTAGATGTAGTGCGTGGTATCGCACGAAATTTAAAAATTAAAATGTCTCCTAAACTAATACCTTTTTGGGATAAATAACTGTATATTTTCTCATAGAGCATGATGACCAGCAGCGACTACTATTACTGGATTAAACAATATAAGACTACCTTTTAAAAAAAATTTGACCTAGACATGTCCTCTACGCGTCCAGTTAAAAAAAACTACTGAGATCAAATTATTTTTTCTTCGAAACCATTCAACTTTTATCTGAAACATTTTTCAGTATCATCAACGGTTCCAAAGATATTCCGAAGAAATGTTTCAGATAATAATTGATTAGTTTCGACGGGAAAATAATTTGATGTAAGTAGTTTTTCGATTTCCATGACTCATTCTGTACAATAATAAGAAACCTTTCGTTTGAAAGCAATTATTTAAAAAAAAAAGTGGTTGTATGCTAATATTTTGTTCATCCACTGCGTAACTTGGGATGAAGAGTAATACATTGTAGGTCGTATAATCGTCAATACAACAAAAACGGTCGAATAAGGAAATTCTGTTAATTTTTCAACACAGTTAATATTGATTATTTGAAAATAACGGAGGTTCGCTGTCGCAGAATCACCGAGGCGTTACGTGGAGGGCGAGGTGACCATCCACTACCGTTCGCCAGTGCGTACAGAGGCGAAAGAGCCACTGAGCGAGGAAGAGCTCGCTCGTCGGAGCGCGGAGAATATGCGACGCGTTTATCAAGAAGAACGTCGTCGCAAATATCTCCAAGAACTGCATGACATCGATTCACGACGACATACCGATAACTTCATGTGAGTACTGTCCCCCATTTCCTACTTTTACCGAAAATATTTTATCGCTGAGGAACAGGAACAAGTCAGTTCAGTGTATAGATCCGTAGAATATCTTCCTCAAATTCTTTACAGGTGTGCGAAACAAATGAAACACATACAGCTTCTTCTTCGTACAAAATCGAAAACACTCTGTATATTAGTATTAACTTTTTCAGTAGATTAAAAGCAGTACCTGTTTTTTGATATGCTATTGTAGTGGTGACATTGATATTATTATTATTAATATGCGGTATATCAGTAATTCAATTCACTGTGCAGTCATGTGAACAATTCTTTCCTTCAAAACTTTGAAAACTGATTAAATAAATTCAGTATGTTGATATCAATAAATGGTTCCTCATATATTTTGAGAATAATGAAAATAATTAATATGAGTAATATCTAATAAAATATTACTGATGTAATAATATATCGTCACTAAAACTCTGTATTTTCATCACTATTTGTACCGTGATTGTGTTCATTTCTTGACCCTGATCTCTAGCTTCTAGATCGTATTCGAACACATACACAATGCCGATGAAAATTTGTAATCACTTGCCAGTTTTAAATTATGATTTACGTCAATTGTTCGTGTGATTCGATGATATTTCTAGCCATGTTTACCAAAATTTTTTTTTCTCCACTGTTGTTAATCACTGTTTATTTATAGCAACTTAACCTTGTTTGTTTAACGAAGAAATTCAGATTTTTCTATAACGTCGATTGTTTCCAAACTTTTGCTGGTAACGTATATGTTTATAATTCTTCTGAATGATTCCTGAATGTTTGTGAATATTTATCAACATACAAGAAACATTGTCAATGTCTTATTGATTCTTTCTTAGTTTCACTAACGTGAAATGATTGTTTATTCTAGACCATCTCAGAAATCACCGATTCCTCTGAACCGTTACGACGACTTTGTCGACGATCTCAGCCACAGAAGCAGATCCCAGGAGCAAACACCGGAACCACGTCTCGTAGCCAGGGCACTTTACAACTTTATCGGACAATCTTCGAGAGAATTGAATTTCCGTCGCGGTGACATAATATTTGTGCGTCGCCAGGTAGACAAGAACTGGTACGAAGGGGAGCATAATGCCATGATCGGATTGTTCCCGTCGAATTATGTTGAGGTAATACCTATAATTGAATTACACGTTGTTTCTCCTCTTCTTCCTCTTTCTGTCCTCATGACTTTATCAATTAACCCGTTGCCTTACGATTTTCTTGACAACTTTGCACAATGGAATTACTTTATCATTCATAATTTTTCAGGATCAAAATCAATTTCGTGTGCATTATAAGTGTACACTTTGCTAAAAAATTAAGTGTCACAATTAGCAAAGAATCTTTCACTTTGACTTAAAGAAAATGGGTAGTATTCAAGTTTAACTAAATTCAGTTCAAAATCGTCACAACTAGTTCGACTTACGGAAGTACAATTGTATGTTTAATTGTTCCATACGATTCTCAGACTCTAAGTGGAAGACACACTATACAAGGTATAGTGTGACTTCTGTTGAATCCTTACAACTTTACGTGTCTGTAAACTATATCGAAATAAGTGTCGTTTCACCCGTGTTATAGATTTTACCGTACGATGGCATGCGAACAACACCAAAGAAACCTTACGAGGGACAGGCACGAGCTAAGTTCAATTTCGTTGCTCAGACGAATCTGGAACTGTCGCTAGCCAAAGGTAAAATATTCGATATAAAATTCGAAAAAATCTGTGTGACGTATGAATTTAATTTATAGGGGAGCTCGTTGTTTTGACGAGAAGGGTGGATGAAAACTGGTACGAAGGACGCATCGGAAACAGAAAAGGAATTTTTCCTATATCTTACGTGGAAGTTATCACGGAGCCTGGGCATAGATCAGGTATTATACTTTACAAAACAAGTTACCCAGATTGGTAAATTAATTCTTAAAAAATGATGATTGTAAGTTATTGGACTTGAAAATTCAGTATCGGATAGAAAAATAGCGTCACAGTCCGTCCATAAGCAGCTATCAAAATGCGTAAAGATAACATTTCTTTCATAATTTTTTTTGACTTCAAGGTTTGTTGGATACATGTAAATTAAATAACTAGAGAAGAAAGAAAAAATTCGGGCAACCTTTCAGTATCTTTTGCGCCGCCCGACTGATGGACTGTACCTGCAAATCGCTGAGTCTCGTAAAATGGACTTGGACCCCATGTTGGTGTTATTTGTTTGTTTTTCAGTTACTTTACCTACATGTATCCAAAAAAAAACATAAAAAGTCAAGAAATTATAAACGGATGCTTATTTGTGTCAATTTTTAGAACTGTTTCTGACGGATTTTGACGTCATTTTTCTGGCGGATATACTAAATTTTCCAGATGAGTGACACTTAGTTCAATTCCGAATTCATAATTTCCAACCATCAATTTTTGTAAAGCTAATTTAATATCTAGGTAACTAAATCTTAAGAATTTGATTTGCTAAGCTATGCATGATTAAAGACAATTCTATTATTTGACGTAGCGAAATAATTATTTTTTATTGCACGTTTCTTTGCTTATTAATGACGGGGATTGGTTTTAGAAACGCCAACACAGAACAAGCCAGTTGCTTCCCCAGCGGCGCACAGCCTCTTGGCTAATGGATCTGCTGGAGGAAAAATGAGTATGGGACCCCACCACTACATGCCGTCCATACCAGTTAATATAAACACAACCCAGCCCCACTATAACTCACTGGTTAGTTCCACAAAAATTTCTTTCCGCTAATGAGGTATACAAAGTGTTAAGAAAAATGTGGGACACTTTCCGAGGGTGGATTTTGTATGCCAAACTAAGACGAAAATCAAGAATGACGAAAATTACGTTCGAGGTCTTATTTCCAAGTTATAACATTATAATTAGTTTAATATTATATTAAATGTTAAATTAATATATTTTATTACAATAATTATTATTCCAGTAATAATATCATATTAATTGATGAAAATATGGGCGAAATAGGTGCAAAATACGTCTGACACGGTGGATTATTCTACTTGAGAGGCGCATTCTTCAATTGTTTCAGGTGTTGGTTTCATTTATTTGATTTTATTTCATTCGTTAGATTCACTTGATCATCGATAGAACCCGTGAATCGGAAACGAAGCCTCGAACGCAATTCCATCATTCTTGACTTCAGTCTTACAATTCGTACGGCATGTGAAAATGTGCAGCATTTTCATTCACACCCTGTCTATCTCAGCGGATTTGAAAAATATGTTTAGACCTAGACTTTGTTTGCTTTCTTCAATTGTTTAATGGTTCCTTATCTGAGTACTTTATTAGTCACGTGATTTGTTTTAGCAGTGAAGTCTCCAGACAATAATAGAAAAATAAGTAAATTAAATCAAATTTCTGTACAGGATTATTTTACACATAAAACGTCACCTTATATTATTTTAAATTTAAATTAGTCTCTTTATAATATTGTGTAGTCTTTAAAGCAAAAATTCTTGAGTTTCTTGAAAGTTCTTGTCATGTTACATTCTACGTTATAAAATTTTCAGCCACGTATGGGAGGGAGCAAATTGCATGTCACGCAACTTAACGAAGCACTGCACATCGACACACACTCCGAGCCGATACCGTAAGTTTACATAAAAGAAAGTATTATAAATATCGTAATCCCTCTGAAACTACAAACAAACCGTTGTCGCAAAGCACGAGAGTTCCTTCTTCCACTCCTTTCTTGTTTATCTTATTTATCATCACCACTCGGTTATCCGCAACAAAGTCTTTAAAACGACATATTTCATCAAAATGAGTATTTTTTTACTTGGCAATATATTCCATTGCCGTATAATTAGAAAACGTTAAAACATACAAAATGATTGACTTCTTATGTTTGTCATTTACAGTAGCGAACATAAAAGTTTCTTTGATTCTCTATATTTCTATTATTTCTTAACATCTACTAAAAACCTTAGTATATTGGGATTTATACAGCACTTAATTCTCTATCAGAATAAATATTACACACATACTGAAGTTTAAAGTTGAACTTAAAAAATAATGAAACTAATTTAAATTGAAAAAGTGGTGACTTTTTTGTCCGTTTCTGTACATCATCAAGACCATATGTTATTGAGAATTACTTAGTTATTGATAAAAGTGGTGGTTATGGGAAAACCACATCGGTTCATCACTAATTAATTAACTTTTCAGCGATGCTACTATATTTGTTTAATAATTCAAATCAACTTAAATGTCACTACAACCTGTGAATTACAGTATCTTCTCGATAAGAGGTAAATCCAATGACGAGCTGTTATCGTGTAGAACAGACATATCCAACTGAATTTCTGGCGAGCAAGAGCGCTCCCCGTTGCTACGTTTTGCTTGCGAACAAGATCAAATCATAAATCGTAAACAGAGTAGGAAAAGTGTTTCAATGTGATTAAAGTTTTGTAAAATGGATCCGATACAAAACAGCTCTTCTGGTACCTACTTGTTCAGAGGTTCTTTTCGTTTCGCAAAAATGATTGCGTAATATTTAATTATTTATACGAAAAATGTTTGATTCCGTATTAAGAATTAAAGTCCTAAAATTTAGTATCTATTTTTCCTACTTTCACTCTTAGTAAGGTAAAAGTGAGGGGCAAAGTGTAGAAAGTCACGACGATTTCTTACTGTGTAGAAAATATACTATCGAGAAGACAATGTAACAGCCCTAGTGGCACGAGAATCATTTACACTACTGATGAGCAACCCGTGGCTTATTGAAATTATTTCTACAACCCATTTTAGTCAGCTAAAATGTAAAAGATTAAATAAAAAGTAAAGTAAATCAATAGTTTCTAAATTGATAAATTAGACTTTTTAAGGTTGCGGTATCAGCAGCCCGATTGGATGTATGGGTTTTCAATTTTTGCCCACAGCAAAAAAAGGTTGCTCATCACTAGACTGCGGATTTTATGCATTTACAGCTTATAGGGATCTATGAAATAAAATAAAAAAATAGTTTCATCAGATGCAATGTAGTTATCGATATCATTCTTAACCTATTGAGATACTTAAGGGAAGAAAGAAATTGCTACTTTAGTTCCTTTCTTCATGTATTACTTTATAAACTGTCATTTTGCATAAAAATCCGCAGTCTACTCATTACTGCTTTATACCGTTGTATCAACAGTATATTCGACACTATCCGCGGTACTAAATTGTAATTGAAAACTAAACATATAAAATGTAGGATAACCTCTTGTCCTTTCTTCCAGGTATCGAGCTCTTTACCCTTACAGACCTCAGAACGAGGATGAGCTCGAATTGAAGGAAGGAGACACGGTCTACGTGATGGAAAAATGTGACGACGGTTGGTACGTCGGTTCGAGTCAGAGAACCGGCTACTTCGGCACTTTCCCGGGAAACTACGTCGAAAGATTGTGAGAATGAGCAACGAGCCGTGATTACTGAACCGCAGGTTAATTCTACCAAAGCACTAAAATCGTTAGTATAGACGAAACTTCGTTCGTTCACGCGTCGATAATAAGGGACAAAAAGAAAACAGTCTTCCTCTTAACCAATCGCGCGACGTCAAACACGTTGCTCTCAGGGGCAACCTGATCGTCGGTTTTACCAAAAACCTTAACGTAAAGTTACCTAATGTGTAAGTAGTGTACGATAACGATTAGTTATTTATTATACCATTCACGAAGGCGAAGTCTGGCGGACGTTGTAACGTATCAGAGCTTGAAAACAGCTAATCTCGATGGCTACTAATCAAATTGTTGAACCGGAGCCATTGGGGGTAGCTTGTCAATATCAAAAGCAGCTGTTCGAGGGTCAGAGATCGTGTGTATTGTAAGTGGAGGTCATATCGAGCCGGCAGTGACTCAAGAAATCTTCCGATTGATAATTGTAGCGCATTTGTCTTGGTTTCAATGTATCTGGGATGATGAATATTTTATCAAGATTCGTACCAATCTCGAGATTTTTAATTAGAAAATACCAGAGTGAAATACTTCGAAGAACAACGGTTTCCGTCTGTGTTTGGTATTGTAGATAAAGAAAAAAACAACAGCCATGTTATTGTTATATTCATGAGTATTGGTAAGGGATTTGTAATTGAAAGTTTGCCTTCCCAAATTAATATTTTTGTAAAGATTATTTGTACCCAGAGTTATATATGAATTATATAATGTATAGACGGTTTACATGATATAGTTACGACGTGATAGAAACATATAATTATAGATATCATTAAATGGCGTAATTATCAATGCACGTGTTAAAGTGCACGCAACATAATCAGGATAAGCTAAGACTTTTTCGCCGATATCACAAGTACCATACTACGAGCAGAAAGGATCGTGTCATATCGACAATTTTTTTCAAGAACGTTTCGCCAGGACGATACACCAACAGCCTGTCCCGCCCCCTCCCCTAAAAAAACTAGGAAATAAAACTAATGTGGATCCACTTGGAAATCAGACAATACTTATTACTATTGTAACTTTGTAGAGCGAAAATGAAAAACGAGCACGTAGTAAGGGCATTAATTCAACGAATTGCGACTAATAATCATTTCCACTGTAATTTTGAATCGAATACCCATGTCTATACTGGTGTGTTTCAGAATTCTAGGCACAGAGTGAACCGATTTGTGAACCTTTTAAAAAGGAATAAAGAAAATTTTAATAAACACATGTGTTTTCTTATTAAAAGAACTATATGCAATGCCTAGTGAAGTCAGTTTTTTTTTATACAGGATGTTCCGTGACGCGTGTAACTGGAAAGATATAAATTCTACGTCAACGGAAGACAATTTTAATCGAATACGCCTCTATGGAAGTTTAGTTGTAATCACCGACGGGATATAGTATAATAGTGAAATATTTCAAACTATATTGTTAGCTATTTTATTTGTCCACGTAGAATCACCATCTTGTGATTGTATCATCAGTTACGGGACACCCTGTACAGCCACCCCCATTCCAATAATAAAGGTCCAAAGACATTTATTTCAACTTAATTTTTCATTTATTGAAATAAATATGGGCAATAGTAAAGTCTATAAAAAGCAGTGAAACCTGTAACTCTATACACTTCGAAATAGTCAGGCCAACTTCAGTACTTCGTAGCTCGGGATTTGCTTGATTGTAGAATGCTGGTATACGATAAAAAAGAATTCTCGGAGAATTATTCAGAGATTAGTAACCACTTGGCTGGCCTTTTCTTGCAGCTTAAGTCGATGGCTGGTTGCTTCGCAGGATCGACAACACCTTCTTCGAAATTCTGGCACGTTGCAATAGCGTTTGAAACTGAATATAGAACAAAACCAATTTTTGTCTCCCCAGCAACGAGATGGAAAGTCGATGGCACGTGTGACGTGGTTGGTGCAAGTGCGTATTTCTGTCTTCACAGTAGCGCCGTCGCAACTGTAGAATGTTTCGTTCTCTGGTGGAATGCATCTAGCTATTCGAGACTGGATTCCTTTTCCATTACTCTTCGAGCACTACGAAAACACAGGGATGTGAAATTTGTGAACATATTAACCCCCTAAGGGGAGATTCCTATTTCTCTGGCTAAAAACATAGCAAAATTTGTGAATTTTTTAAAAAGAAACTAGCGATTCGATTCATTTGAAATTTGTGCCATGCTTTTATTCATTTTTGAAGGTGTTACAGTTTTTTTTTTTAAATTAATTTTTAATAATAAATATAGAAGCTATGCACGATCGACCATCACGCCACGCAAAGTTCGTCGCCCGTTGGTGTGCATCATATCTATCTTCCAAGTAATCTTAAACGGAAAAATGAAACGGCGTTTTACTTTATACATATGTAGTTTCAGTATGACGAACCAAAAGAAAAGAAATATTTATGGAGGAAGTGGTGATTTTCCATATCAAAACCTTAATTTTTGCTATCAAAATTCATCAATTTTTTTATATATAGAAAAAAATATATAACTTATCATTATTTTGGTTCATGAAATGATAAAGTAATGTTTGCTGAATATACAGACCAAATTTGAAGGTAATCGGTTCAGTGGTTTCAGAAATATCATGCACACCACCCGAAAGAAAGCAGTTTCGGAAAAATAGCGTTTAAAGTTTTATCCCGTAATGAACTTTATATCGGCGCTCGAGTCGGTTAAGAGCACATATGTAACTCCGAAAGTTTTACGAACTTCGACATGAAATTTTGTGGAGATATTCTTGAAACATTAAATTAAAGGATTTCGTAAAAAAATCGAGTTTTTCATCCGAACAATAGGATTCCCCCCTTAAATGGAAAGAGCGGAACTATCCGTCGCGATAAGTCGGTACTAGATAATTTGACATCACAAAAATGGTCATTATATCACTTCATTTTAATAATATTATAAGAAAACAACACGCTTTTTGTGTATACTTAAATTTAAAAATTAGATTTTTTAGTAGCTTATTAAAGTCAAATATTCTACAGTACAGCATGCGAAAATTCTTTCTCCGGTTAAAGGGTTAACAGTTATTGGACTAGTAAAGAAAAAGTATGAATGCATTGTATGAATGCATTCGACGAGAATTTTAATTTATACAAAGATATTTGCAGTGTATATAATATCTTGACAATGGTCGTATTTCCCGAATATTATTTTGAAGGGCAGTTTTTTCGGATAGAATAACATTCTTTCTTTTCTACTGAAAAAATGACGGACTGCTCATGCAACAATCTAGTATATGAGATTAGCCAATAAAGTATCGAGAATAATTTTGTTCCAATTAATTTTCTTAGTACTATCTTGAGGGACTATTACACAGGACTATTTTGAAGATGACAGCTTCATATCTGTTAAATTTTAAAAACAAAATATTTTAATGAATCAGTCTCGAAACTTTATGGTCACACTTCGTATCGTAATGCCTTGAAAATTGTTTGGCCATAGGGATCGCGAGCAAGCGATTTCGGGTGCATAGAATTTTTTCTTACCGATGACCAATCCGTAAAAATCCAACGTCCTGGACAAGGAATCCTATTGCATTTTCGAGTATTCTCTGGCATAGATGTGGTTTTGCAAATGGACGGTTGCACCATCGTTCGATAAACTTCTAATTCGTTATTCCTGTTCACCTCGGTTCCATTAAATTCCGAATGGACGCAGTAAACTTGTCGTAATTGAATACCGAAGCTACCGCAAACATGTGAGCAGCCTTCCCATGGCCCTGGTAGCCATTTAAAGCTACAGCTGTGCGAAGCATTGATTATTCAAAGAGTAAAAAATGAATAAACGTATGAAATATAATATCTTTTTTGAAATGAGAGGTTTCGAATGTTTTAATACCTGAAAACGTTGCATTTTTCTATTTCCTGACTCGGCTTGGTGGTCAACGGACATTTTCTCCGTGAAACTATTCTTCCAGTTTGCTCGTCCTTGCAGACTATCATTTTCTGACGCGTTCCACCACCGCAACTCACCGAACAAAAGCTCCAACCCCCGAATAACCACACGTATCTGTTCTTTGCGTTCCTGTCGTCGCGATTTAAAAAATATTGCACGGAAACTGCCACGGAGATCCCTTGCTCTACGATATTTCCTGATGCTACGACCTATCCGAAGAAAAATCGTATGTCGTGAAACAGAAAATTCCTTAAAATGTTATGAAATATTTTCATCCGAGTCTGAATACAAGTTTAGAATTGAAACGGTATGATTTAAATTAAAATATAAATAGCAATAATTAAATTAACATGCAAACGGTCACATTCAAATGCAATGTAAACTTTCAACGATCAAATGCAAATTCAATGTATGTAGCTTTCAACGATCAAATTCCAATTTAAATATTAATAATCAAAAAAGAACTTCAGAGGTCCAAACCGAAAAAGGATTCAAAGATTGTCGGTTAAATATGTAATTCCTTGAAATTTTATAGCTCAAACTGAAATACCAATGGTCGAGTTTAAGAATCGTTTGTTTGCAAAGGAAGAAAGTTTTTCTTACAATTCGACTAATTGAAAATTCGTATATGTCTTACTAAAATCACAACGTCTTCGAAAGCAGTGCCGTCTGCTTTCAGAGAGTATGTGTTATTACGTTTTTGGGTTCGAAAGGCTGCGCCTTGTACAATCGTTACGTCTCCCTTACGAGAAGTTAAATTCTCTTGCACGTTTCGCCTTCTTCGTCCATCGCCGACTACAATCGTCAAGTTATCTTCATAAAAGAACTGATCACCCAGTAACGTAATATTCATCTGCAAAGTGTGAGCATCTCGAGGTATTATAGCGATTCGAGTCACTTCTGTAACAGAGGAGCATTCCGTTTCATTATTTCTAATCCATTCTTTATTTGACACGGATTCAGAAGAAAAATATTTAACTTATGATTACGTGGGAGAATTTCTTATTTAAATAATTATTGAAATATCCAGGTCTGTTCCACACATTGTCGCATAATAATAGAAAACGTTAAGTTGGCAATAAATGCACGATTGTTCTTTGAAATATTATAGTTCATAACACTTTTTATAACAAAACTTTCATTATTTATATTTCAATAACTGCCTATTTATTTACTCAGCTTTTAATACTCTTTCAATTTCGATAAAGAAATGTAGGGTATTCCATTAGACAAAATAATGGTAACCTTCGAAACTTTATGTGTGAACAATGTTGAAAAAAATAATTATTGTAATGTATGTACCCTTTGGAATCAGGCAACTGTTGCTTCATACACTTTTTCGTACAAAAAATATTTTACATCTAATTTCAAGTAGTCCAGTTAGATGAATCACCCTTGTACAGGTGTACAAAGAACTTCCCATAATGTATGATAACGACTTTCTGGAAGTACTTTAAAAAAGAAGAACTTAAATGGAATATCCTGTAACAGGACATGACATGTGTGTAAGACATTTTATACAGGGTGGGGCAATAACTATGTCCACTTTGAATATTGCCGTTATTTGTGATAATATGAAAAAATGTTATATACAAAACTTACACGGTATAGAGGGGGGCATATTGTGACACAGACATTTTCTGCGTTGATGAAGACATAGATGAGATTTCAAGGTCATCTCTATTTTTTTTAATGGAATGCTATGTTTTTTTTATCGTTGCAATCGTCGGGTCGGCGCTACAGGTACCAAGTGTTACAAAACAATGCGAACGGTGGTAGTAGGGGCATAAACTGAGACAGGTATAAAAGGACGAAATTTTTCCAATACACTTAGTTATTTTCTGTAACATTGACCGGAGCAGAGCCAAGTCATCCAGATTTTAATTGTAAATCTTGGCTAAACTAAACAAAACGAACTTCGGGAAGGTACCTTTGAGCAAGTGACCTATGTGACCCAGACGTTGCTATGGTACATCTAGTTCGAAAGTTACAAAGAACTGGCCAAACTTCGTCAATTTTTGGCCAAGACCTGGTGGAAGCTGTTGTCGGTGCTGTTCAACGTCCACCAGTAGGAGTTGGAACTTCGGTCTGTTATCCAATCAACCCCACTAGCTACAAATACAGGTAACCCTTCAATAATACCATTGATTTGGGCCGTGTTAAACGAAACTCCGAGAATGCATGTTTATTATTCTACACACATTTTCAATCTTCCTTACATTTCACTAAAACTTTTGCGAATCAGTGGTACGAAAAAGGCAGTGCAATATGAAGGTTACATGTTTGGAGTATAGAAGAGTTTCGCGCAAGTTTTCTATGTTATATGAAAAGCGTGTTACAAAAATACTATGTTGTAGGATGGTGTTCCGTAATTTTTCGATAGTGTTACATCAGAACTATGTTCTGAAAAGACCGTGTTATAGGAGGGCTGTAAGTATTTGTATGCTAATGTCGAGAATTTCTGTGTCGAAAAGTGCGAAGATAAATGAAACGTCCTATATCTACGAGAATTTATATTAGACCAAAGCTGTGTGTACACTATACAGGATGTCTTAGCTAACTTGATCATCTGGAATAATGACTTAACGGTATACTTTATGAAAATTTTGGGCGTAGAATTTAAAAGGCATCAAGGGGCACATCTTATATTGTACGTGCTTTTTTCGTGGGTGGGGGAATTTCAGAGATTTCAAGATCACCTTGATTTTTTTACGAAATGCCGTATTTTTTGTACCATACACCGATAGAGTATCAAATTCTGAGTAAAAATGTGTTGACCTTCATACGTCCTAAACCTAGTAGTTAACGAGATATTTACAAAATAATCACTGTATTGAAGTTGAGTTGAAAATTACTGAAATTGTTTTGTAAATATCTTGTTAACTATTAGGTTTAAAACGTATGAAGGTCAACATATTTTTACTCAGAATTTAATACTCTATCGATCTACGGTACAAAAGGTAGGTCATTCTGTAAAAAATTCAAGGTGATCTTGAAATCTCTGCAATGCGCCCACCCACGAAAATAGCATGTACCTTATAAGACGTGCACCTTTCTGCCATGTAAGTTCCACAACTCAAAATTTTCATAAAGTGTACCGTTGAGTCATTATTCGAGGTGATCAAGTTAGCTAAGACACCCTGTATAGGAAAACAGTGTTACGTAACAAATTGTTATATATGCGACATATTTTTATAACTTGTTACAAGATTATACTTTTTAGACAAGGATGTAACAAGTTTGCACAACATTTTGTCTCTCATTATTTCTAATAATGGCATTACACTTGATGGATAGCATATAACTTGTTATATAACACAAAGAATGTTATGTAACATCATGTTATATAACATTTTTGTGCCTATTTATCTAACAAATTTTATAACTTCGCTATACAGTAAAGCCTCGATAAGTGTTCGAAGGCTCCTCGTTACTAACAAGGAGTTTAATCTAAGTTAATGACGTTTATCACAAGTGTTAGAGCTTGGAATTCTGTGGCCAATGATATTTGCTTCTGTCACGTATAGAGATTAGTTTATGAAGTACTTAATATTCCTTAATATTCCTTCGAACACTCATCGAGGATTTACTGTATAACGTGTTATGCTGTATACAGTGTAGATGCAGCGTAAAGAGACCATTTCGCACCCCGACCCCCGAGTGCAATACCGCAATAGCTAAAAAGATATGAATTTCTAGTTTTATGTGTCGCAAGACTGTAAATACAAATTTCTGCATGCTGCAAACCTGGCACAACTCTACCTCCTACTTTTCTCTAGTAGAGGGATACTGATAGACATTTATTTCAGATATTTTAATGTTATGCTAAAACTTTGATAAGCTCTTCTATAAAATTATGCACTATTGACTTGCGGCAGTATTGCAGCCGGGGTGTGATTTATTTTCTGCGAATGTAAGTTGCTCGTTTCGTCGTAACTATTGTATGCCCAGAAATTGTAAAGAAAAACGAAGACTCCGAGTCTCGTTCCTCTCAGGCGACCCGGCTAATAACTAATCACTTTTCTCCCTCCCTCTCTCTCTTACTCACGACATTCCTCTGCTTTAAACTAATTAGGGATGTTACTCCACCCTAGCCATCTGACTTTGACGGGAACTTGGTCGGCACTTCTAATAACTCAATTTGAACGGTGACTGGACTGACCTCTGCGAAGCTTTCGCTGGAACTTGCTGATGACATTCTCGCAGGTGGAATTGTCTCCGTCGCATTCTCCACATAGGTCCAACAGTTTCTTCGATCCGAAGATATTATCGCAACCAAGTTTATGACACTCGCCCTGTGAACAGTATTTCTCTGGTTCGAATTAAGTGTTAAAGTGCATGCTGTAGAATTTAACCTTTGTGGACTGTTCAACAAACTATTGCATTATTATTCCTTGAATTAAATCGGACCAGAATTAAAAACGAATTAAGGAAATATATTTGCCTATCACTAGATTATAATACAGGGTGTTCCATCTAACGTGAGCACCTTCAATATCTCACTTGTTTTTGAAGATACAAAAATATGTGAGGGGAAAGTACTATTTGGTTGGAAGGAGTAAATATTATGATAAGCAAAAATTTGTTCTCAAGGTCATAATTTTCAAAATTTTAAGGTCATCGATGGTTTTTTAAATGGAACTACATACTTTTATCAGCATGGCATAATAGTTGTGATAAAGGCCAATTCAATGATTTGTAATAGTGTGACCTTCATGGGACCTTCAGTACCAAAAATCCACAAATGTACGAGAGTAGATTTAAATAGTAAAATAACTACGACAGAGGGATTTATGCACAAATGTATTGAAGTTGATGGACATCACTTTGAGCATTTATTAAAATACATGTTCTACAAATCAAAAGCAAATGAGACACTAAAGTTTGCTCATGTTGGGTGAGGCACCCTGTATATGTAAGCTATTGGTATCTAATTAATATAAAAATTTCTGTAATAACAAATATAATTAAGAATCAAATATTGGCTTCGAGTCAAATTGACCCGCGCAGTACACGAAGGTTAAATTTCCGTGGTCGATTTTACATTTAAATGTGGCGGGTCAAATTCAGATTTCAATTCCAACTGTTAAATTCGACGTACAAAGATCAGAATCAAATTTAATTTTAATCGTAACTTTTACGCAATGAAATTCAAATTCCAATTTCTGCGATTAAATTTGAAATTTTCTATTGATTGAATGAATCATGTTTTATGCAGAAAAGCTTATATTCCTGTCATGGTGACATTTTTTATGAAATTGTTCTATTTTTATGATTGAAATCACCTGTATACATATATCTGTGGATCCATAAGAGCACGGTGTTCCGTCGATCAGGTTTTTCCTCGAGTAAAATAGTTCGCCTGTCTCCTTGCTCCTGCAAATTAACTGACACTTTAAGTTCTCCTGCTTCGACTCGTACGGTAACCAAGTGTACAAGTTGTTTTTCAACCGAATTCTATCATTGTGCATAACACTGTCGAGCTTGGAACACTGTTGAGCCCTGAGATCGATCGACGTTGAACATTTCGGTAGATCGCAGAGTTTGCAGTCGTCGCTCGGACCCGAACAGTATTTTCCGCCATGGGCTGGCCTTACAGAGAAAATGAGAAAACGGGATCAATACTTACATCATCTTTTTCCTGGAAAGAGCACACTTAGCGAAAGAAAATAAATCTTTGTTCTAGTATCACTTTTTCCTGTTAGGTTGGTGAATAATAAACAGCAAAATATTTGAACAAGAAATTAATATCGTAAACCTATAGGATGCCTAAATTATCGTGATACGAATGTTTCATTAATCTTGACCAACTACGAACTATCAAAGGAAGAAATCATTGAAATCAGTTTAGAGAGTATTTGATTTACCTCAAACATCTGTAATGTGCTCCATAAAGTAATTGTATATATTAATATACAGGACATTTAGTTCTTAATATTTCACATAATTCATAGTGACATTAATTTTATCGCTATAAGACTGTACAAGAAAAAGTTACTAATATTAATATACATTTATATAGAGTATTTCGTATATTTTGTACATCTGGAGTTGAATTATTTTATCCACTTAATTAATGATTATTACTTATTTGATAATAATGAAAGATTGTTAAAAATACATAAATTTAGAAACTAATTAATTTCTTTATTTACATACTACAATGAAAATTTCAAAAAATCTCAGTAAAGCTCTGTTATAATATTTTAATAGTTTTTACACGAATTTACGTACCCATCATTTCGACTGTCTTGTCAGTTCTACTATCACAAAATATCTAATGAATGATTTATACTTCAATGCCATTAAAAGATATGAATAAAATGTGATTGATACTAATACGTAAGATATTTTATGTATGCAATTTATCTACAAAGTGTTCTATAGAGACATTATTCGTATTGATATACACGGTTTGTTCCAAAAGTTTCCGAATTCAAGTTAAAACAACAAGACTTTCGTATGGTATTTACGCGTTTCATCAGCTTTTGTTGAAAGTAGTTTTCTCCTCAAGTGCTGATAACAGGAATTAGTTTAATATAGTTGAATTAGACGAATACGGAGGCCAATCAAACTGTGAGATACCTTTTGACACCAAGATGTTGTGTAAACTCATGACAAGTAACGCCAAAAGTATCGATCGTTTTCTTTCTACCATCTTGAAGAAAAATCAGTGCCATTTTCAATGTTTCTATGATTATTAGGAACATCCTATATCACTTTAAAAGAAAACAATTTTTAATATTTGATGATAAAAGGTACCATCATGCTGCTGTTAAATTAAACTGCTGTTTTAATTTCAGTTTGGTAACTTTTGGGGCATACCGTGTAAATACATTAATATTGTTCCCTATCTTTTTGCATGAAATGGCCATTTATTTTCCATCAACCGTATATTTAAGTGCTAAGTTAATATTACTAACAGCGGTTTGTTACATTTTCGTGTTCGGCATTGCACTCCTAATCCACAGGTCCTCGAACATTTCTCCCATTGACTCCACGGACTCCAACCTCCATCTCTGGGTTTATTTAACGCTATTCCAAAATCAAAATTTTTCCTCTTCGATGACTGACACCGACCGTTTATACACCACTGAAATTATCGTGAAAAAATCAGAATAAATCAGTCGCCATTATGCTATTTCATGGTACCAAATTATGTCATAGTTCACTAACCTTCGATACACCGCACAATGTACCTTCCAATGGTGGTCCCTTCTTGGTCTTACACGTTTCAGAAATATTCCTATTACCGCACCATAAACGAGTACACGGCTCCATAACATCGAAGCTCTTACAAAGTTCGTACCTGATTCAAAATAAAATACTTAATGTTACATTTTGCATTTATCGATTAATTCAATAATACAGTGGTGTCCGCGAATAGGCTACTTTTTACGTTCGCGGAGTGGCCTGTTCCGAGGTACCCCAACTGATTGCAGTAATATAGTACTGTATTTTTTGTATTTAGTCGGGTATTGAATTTCGGCCCAAGTATTTATTTCTTACAACTAGACTCCGGAAATTTATGCATTTATGGCATCACTTAACTTTGAAAATACAATAAGATAAAGGTTTAATAAATATTATACTATTTATATATTTATTATTAACGTAATAAAGTTTCTAGTACTGAATTCGAAACTGTGTTACATTTGAATTTTTAGATATTAATATCGGAAATTATGAATTTGCCTAAATTTCCGCAGTCTGCTTATAACATAAGATTCTACTAACCGACGAATGTTTTTTTTTTACATATTTCAATCATTTTTGGACGGGGTAGCCAGTCCGCATTTTGGAGGGGGGTAGGGGGAGTAATGGTAAAAAGTCACCATGTATAGTTTCTCAGGAACTGAATTAAGTTTCTATTTAATATATTTTACATGTCACAGATCGAGAATAAATAACTTAATTTAGTAGAAAATCCTTTATTTCCTATGTTATTGTTTACACTTAACCGGTCACGTACGCTCTGTGAGAATGCTTCGTTTACAAATTTTCTGATAATTCTTTGTGGTTGCTACGTTTAATTCCTCTTTTGTTTTGGTTTTTGGAAAACTTGCGTCTCTTAATGTATCAATACAGAAGACTAAATATTTAAGTTCAATTTATATCGACTTCTAAAATATGTTATAGATAGTCAGAATTTCGTTTTTCTACCCGCTCTTAGAATACTTACACTAATAATTAATTAGTGTATATAACAATTATGTGGAGGGTTAATTTCTATTTGTTGTCACCATAAAGTAACAATTGGCAGTTTTTAACTTAACATCTTTCTCCAGTACACCCACGACATGTTGCATCAATTAAAGAGAGTAAGAAAGACTCACCCATCGCCAAATTCCATTCGACATTGTTCGTCCATTGTAAAAGTTTCTCGAATTGTAGCCTTCAGAGGAGTGGAACTGTCGTACGTTGGTTTGTTTAATAAGCAGGACCACCGTCTGCAAATGTCTAAATCAGCAATATATCTTTCGACAAAGGGATGTTGTTCGAGAAATATGATTTTTCTTACTTGATCCTTCGATGGAATTCCTTCTTTGAGCAGGAGGACCAATAGAAATGATGAAACGTTGCGGCGACCATGGGCGCCATCACGCTTCCTCGTGATCCTTCGTCCCTGCAAGTGTTTCCGGCAGACTCGTCCCCATCGTGAGTTAATCCTAAACTATGGAAAATATGTTTGTACGCTGTTCAATTAAACATCACAACTGGTTCAATATGAATTGAAACCGAAGATTAAAATAGTAATTGAACCAAACATTGTACTTTCTCACCTACTGCATATTTGATATTTATTTAAGTAGTACATATAACATTTTAGTTCACTATTGCCCCGTTTTTTAAACGTACTTATGTTGTTTACTTTTATTTAAAGTAGCATTGTAACTTTTAGGGAGCATGATAGGTAATTCTAGTAGCGATTTTTGTATGCTAATCTATGGAAAGTTCTCGTTATTTTTAATCTGCTAATATGGAAATACTAGAAAAACTTAAAATGGACTGTTTAAAATATGCTAATGATGGTAGTAACAATGGTAGCGGTAAGCAGGCTTTTAATAATGGTAGCGCAATGTAGTGTTAAGAATCATGTGGCCGAAAACGATTTAATAGAGCGTTTACACATTAGAATAATGTGCACAATAATAGAGGGACGACGTCTAATCCCAATGTATCCTTGCAATAACAATGAAACACAAATGTTTTAGCTCGTATTTCCAAGCTTATCGCTTTTCTGTTTGGGTGTACTTCACTTTAATTACAGTATCCTCGCGTCAAAATTTTTGGTAATTTCTTTGTCGACCCTTTTGATGTCACGAACTTAAAATCCATTTTTTAACCCTTGTGTAGACGACCAAAATATCCATGGTTATTGAGCAATCGGAATACTTCTATTCGGACAGATTAGATAAACATAGATAATTTTACTTTCATACTTTTCCAAAACTGTTAGTTTTCCCTTCCAATAATATACCAAGTGCTGTTTTAGACAAAAACATAAAAAATTGAGAAAGTAAATTTAGAAATGGGTACCTGGTTACCCCGCTGCCTACACAAGGGTTGAGGTGACTCCTGGTCAGTGAATTGCAAACGGTGCAGTTCGATTCGTTATAAGAACATTCGCATGGTTATATTGCAATTACCCTACGCTCGTAATATCAACATGCTCTATAACAGTACAATTTAACATGCTTCATGGAATGTAAATTAAAATTCTAAGCGTCAAATCCAGATTCGAATTTAAATTTCAACGGTCGAAGTCAGAGTTCTGCCATATAAATGAAGGTTTAGCCAGATTTGTGGAACACTTACATATGTGCGACCTCGTGAGCAATGATGAAAGCGCTGGTTAAGCCTTCGTCTCGATTCAAGGCACAGGATCTCGCAGGATTGCACGCTCCAGAGACAGGCGCGTATCCAGACGGGCCTCCGATGTCTAAACGTGTCAGCCATATCGCAACGTCGTGATTTACGTTTGCAGACGACAACATTTTCCTATTCCATCTGTTAACGTTTTCAAGAGATCGCCTGGCATCGCCTCGGTGAACCTGTTCCATTATTAATAGTTAATTAGACTGCGGATTCTTGGGGCAAAATCACATTTTCTAAAGTAATTCGTAAAGACAGATGGAAATATAGAAGTTCCTTTTTTCTCTTAAATATCTTATTGAGTTGAAAATAAAATAGAAAACTCGTTGCATCTGATAAAAGTTTTGTTTTTTATTATACTTCACAAAGCTTTGTGTAGGCTATAATGACATAAAATCCACAATTTTTAATAACGTAGTAATATCCCGACATTTGTCTAAATTGTATACTCTCCGAATATATACACCATATGTCTCTTTGTTGAATTTTGGTTTAAAGATAAATTCATCAAATTATAAAATGAAACGATAAATCCCCAAATATATGTATGTAGACAGTACCGGCCATAAGTACGGGAACGACTTTAATGTTATAATTTTCCTCTTATAATTGCAAGTTTCTACATTTCCTTTACTAGGACAGGATTATATAGGTTTCAATTATGAATACAGTAATTGTTCCAAAGAAGGTCGTACTAGAGTAAAGAAAGGAGGTAGTTAGCACTGCAGATCTATACAAGAAACTATAAATAGTTGGAAAAAGGGACGAATTATATAAAACACTTAAAATATACAAACCTAATGATTTAATCATTTCGCTGTGCTAGTATTATGTACCGTACACTGTTAAAGTACACCATTAGAAAAAACTTTTTCATGAGAAGGGTATATCTATTCTTATTCTTATTATAAATCACTATGACAATAACTGTGAAATATCTGTTCATTTATTTGATAAAGTAAAAAAGCAACGGTTGGTTAAAGAGCATTAATTAGTTAATGGGCGAAAGGTTAAAAGCCGTAGCGTAGCAATGTGCAAGAGAAGAATATAAATCAGCAGTGAAAATAATTAGTTTAATATTATCGTGTACAATAAAGTAATTTCTCTGAATATTACTGAGCCAATTATAAAAAAGTTATTTCGCACTGTATACGAATAGGTAATAATAAAATGAATGCAACAGAACCATGTTCCTTTATTGCAAACGGAAAATAAATTCAAAATTCTGGGTTATCCTCATAGTGACGACCCGAAACGGACTTCGAGATATTGTTACTTTTTGTTTTCTGCTTTCAAAGGATAACCTTCCACTTTGCACTGCTTTTAACTATTTCGTTGGGAACAATGAGAGTAAAAAATATTTTGTCCACTTACCAAACTGTCTCTCTTTTCTGCGTATAAAATCATTCGTACGATCACTAAAACCATATTTGATTCGAGCGATGGATCCATATAAATAGCGCTGACCTATAATCAAAAATCTTAAATAGGTTTCGTGATCTATTGTTTTATAATTCAATTGTAATAAGAGAGAACAGAAACACACATTTTTATGCACAAGATTTATGCAAATATTCTTCAAGAAAATTCATTGAACGTTAAACTTCTGTGTTTGCTTACGATATTCAGGAGAGCTAAAATATATTGTTGTACACGACTTCCATGGAAATCCACTACGGAATAATCGGCAGCTATTCCGAGTTCGAGCCAACGCGGTGACGATTCCTTGATGATCGTTTTCTTTTCTAGAAATACATTAAAAAAATTTAATTTGAAATTTCAATACTCAGTTGTACCCATATAAAGTGACCATACGTAATTGTTTTTTAAATTAAAACTTGTGTCAATTGCACACGAACAATTTCTATAATTCAGTTTCTATTTTAGTTTAATAACAATGAATGTAATAATTACTTGAAGAGTGTACAAAAGTAACTAAAAAAATCTCAAATATAAAACTTAAATTTCAGTGGCTACATGGAAAATAAAATTGTATCTCGTGTATTTATTTGTATAGAGTATTATTTATTTACTATAAAATCAAACATAGTTTGATTTCATAATTTAGCAGTAGACTGCAAGTTTTAGTGTTCAAATTGAAGTTCCAGCTATCCAATTTACATCAATAATTACATATTCGAACCACATTTTAAATTATAGTGGTTCAATTTAAAATCAAATTCAAAACAACTATTCACTCACTTGGTATTTTGTTTCTCTGCCAGAAGGGACCGGAAAAATAACTAAGATCCTTCGACTTTTCATTGACCAGCAATTCTTCCATTAGCGTGTCATTATATTCGCTTGATATCTCATCTTTGTCATCGTATAAAACTAATTTTTCAACTTCTGGGTAATCCATATCGAACATATCATTCGATAGATTATAGAACTCGTGTGTGTAATGATTTGTAGAATCTCGCCTCCTACGTTTTGGTTTTCCATTTTCATGCTTGAGTCCTGCAATTGTAAAGAAATTGTTTACACGAACCATTAAGGAATTAATTATATTTAATGGGTAGATCATTTAATTAGCTCGTGAACTATGCACCCGTCGAATTTCTCGCGTACACGTATGAAATTCCATCGTAACTCGAGCTATGCGGACCATCTAGTTAATAATTGTTCACTGAGTTACGCAATTCTATTGCGTTAATACAGCCTCATTTTAATGAGTCCGTGATCCGCCATATTGAATCACACGGAACGAAGCCTCGATAAGTAATAATGAAATAATATTCTAATAATTCGATTTATTTGTCAATTCTTAGTACTTGTCAAGAAATATATTAATCTATGTGGAATACATATTAAATCTATTTGAGTGTTAATAGTAATAGTAAAAGTGTGTACGGAAGAAATTAATAATATTATTGTGCACCATACTTCGTTTATTTTGTCCATTAGAAAAATCAATAAGGAAGAAATAAATAATGTTAACTTAGTAGAGTAGTTGAGTCTGTAATACTGAAAAGATACAAGTGAAGATAATGAACTGAAAGTATATCCACCAAGCGATGTATGTATATCGCTGTTCCTAAATGATACTTCAAATATCTAATTTTTTTAAGTATTTAAATGAATTCCAACTATGTAAATTCTTCGCTTCATTTAGTGGTTCATGTGTCACGTTTCTAATTTATTATCACAAACGCTAGAGACCTGCCACTGTTTCTTGCTCGAGAGACACAATGTCTAAATCTCCTTTCGCTGACCACCGTCTGACTTTTGATGACTCGTACATCACATGTCTTCCATCCACCAGAGGCTCCACGAAAAAGGATGCTCTTTCGGTCACCATCATTGCATACACTTCCTTCTCACATAATGTCACAACTACCAAAGAACCGTTGCCTCTATCCAGACTACCCTGCCGAAGCTGACAACCCAATATGTCCCCATAAACTTCAGACTGCGTCCGGTCCGAATAGACCCAATCCACTTTGAAGTTCGAATCAAGTATCAGTCTATCGTTCACCACTGTCTTCAATGTCCACTTATTGATTTCGATGATCACTGTTCCTTCCTCATCACTCCTTTCCACGGTTGATCTTCGTCCACGAGCGTTCTCATTGACAATCACCCTCGGATAGACGATCTCGTACTCTTGCAGACTCTGCAGAAACTCCGTCACCCTCGATTTAGTCGCGATTGTGCCCAGCAACCACGTGGTCAGGAGAACACTGAGCAGCTTCAATCGTTTCATGATGAAACCAATGAAGTCTCAGTAAAGTTGCTCAGCTCGAGATTCACGAAACATCGTTCGATCGTTGGGTTCTTCGTCACACAAGGATTTCTGATTTCATTTTCGGCCGTGGCAAGCGAAGGAACACGCGAATAATTCTTCAAAAACAACGACTCGATGATGTGTAGCTTGCAGGGAATTGTAAGTGTATTGTGTCTGGATGTACGTGAGAATTCCCCATTTTCATTCACCACACAACACCATCCAGTCGGTAACTAGCCAAACGATAATTTGTATCGCAGGTCTGTAATGAATAAGCGACTAGAATCACTATCACTTCTTCGCCAATTTGCACGGCGTAACTTCAATTAACGCGGCGGAAGACGCGACGACTGTGCAACTGGCAGCCACATGGACGAAACGCACGCGAATGCACCAGCGGAATTGTGCGTAAGATCACGCTAGGCTGGAAAAAGCAGCAGCCGCCCACTGAAGTTCTAATAATGGCAGCTTTATGTGCAATCACCGAGAAACGAGGATGCCGGCGAACTCATTGTTCGGGCGTGCGGTTGTTAACGAGGATTTCGTCTTCGAACCGGCGGCTGAGAGAATTCTCGTTAAGGGCTCGGGCAACTGATCAATCTAATCGAGGGGAATTAAATCTGTTCCGGTTGCGTTGCCGAAGGCGCATTTCATAACACGACGTGCTCGGTGAACAAAGTCGTATTGTGAATTGTAAAATAGACTGTAAACATTTATTCACTTGACACTAGAACCTACCAAATACGAGTGACTGATTTTAGATGTCTTGTTTTACTATTACCGAAATCATTGAGGTTTTATAGTTGTGATTTATACTTACATTCTCATTATTGAACTGCGGATTTTTATGCAAAATGATATTGTTTGAAGTAATCCATAAAGACAAGAGCAACTGTAGAAATTTCTTTCTCCCTTTAAGCATCATATTGAATCTAATGAAAGTGTTGTTGCTTATTGTATTTTACAGATCCCTATTGGCTATTGATGCAGAAAATCCGCAGTCTACTCAGTATATGTTCCAAATTATACTATATTATATGTAGTAATATATTGTATAATTTAACTTAGTGTACATGGAAGTTCTTAATGGACAGGATAGAGAGGGAAATTTTGTTTGTAATTTAAAATATTCTTGTAGATATGACACTTGGCTAACAATTTAACATTTAATTACAGTATACAAGAGTATACTATGCAAACGTAGAAAGTGATGACCCAACGTTGACAAAGAAAATTTTGGCAAAGATGTCTCAGAACAATAATTCTTTTCTCTTTTTTTTTCATTGTTCAGCCGTGTTCAGTAGGAAATAAATGAGTTTTTATTTTGATTTAGTCATGAATAAGATCTTTGTTAATCGGTTACAGTATGTAAGGGTTTTGAAAAGAATCGTCTACTTTAAAGTAGTAGAATTGTCGATGTTGTATCATTTTTAAGTACAAGATCGACAAATTGTATAGGAAGCAAGTTAATGTTTCATCTGTATTATTTATTGTTTGCTTAATTTGCCAAATTGAATAATCGTAAATTCGATGGGAATTAAGTGGAAACATTCACTTCCGAGAAGATGATAACGCGCGGATTTCCAGGAGGATAAACAGAATGGTCGACTTTAAACTGAATGCTTCCATTTAGATTGTGTAACCATGTTAATTGGTGGCAGCTGTAGGTGTATTTACAGTGAACACGATAAAACCACATAAATTTGAATGCCCGATACAAGAACAAAGTATAATCGAATTAGTTAAGCTACTTCCATCTATATGTTCAGAAGTACGAATAATATTTTCCTTTTGTCTTTTATAGTACTAATACCCATGTATATTTTCAATTATATTATTAATATTATTATAATATTTTCAATTATTTTCATTATCAAAATTCTAACGAAATGTTTTTATTATGTGGGCAGTAATTAATCAGTTATTAGTGCGTACGATAATTGACCGTATTTGTAGTGTAACTTCTTCATACCTTTTTTTGATTTATATCAATAGAAATATCAACATTTACACTAACGTTCAAGTTTGAAAACGGTGAAATAAAATGTTAGGAAGTCAGATTACAGATTCTTTATTAAAGGCTTATATGTATATACATTTGGCGAGGCAAAAAATTTTCAATGTATTAACAAGGAATTATTTGTTTAACTAAAAAATATGATTGCATTCAGGTTTTGTTCGGTACTGTATATTTACACCAATAACTTCTCACATATATTACACGTAAAAAGAATAACTGAAACATTCTTCCGGTGAAGAACAGTCTATTAATATTTTTCAATTAGAATTGAACAATAATTTAATAAAGTACATAATAATTCTTGGTAATTGTACAGAATAAGGGAGCCACCTCCGATTTCAATGACCTTAAAATATGTTGTCAAGGTCATCATTCTGAACAATTTTTTCCTGCACATATAATAGTCAGTCTGTTTCAGTTTTCGAGATATTCGCAAAACAAGTTCGTTTAATGCTACCTAATCCTTCGACAGCATTTACGTTTAATAGAGTGTTACATACATGTTACTTGTTTACATTTCTTATGTCCATGATACAAGTGATTCTTAATATCCCACCACAAACCACTCAATGTTAACCACGAGCAACATAATTAATTAACTACGAGCAATTAACCACCATCCAATATCCCACCAAACACAAGACAAACACATTGTGTTGTGGAGTCTAACGAAGAAACTTTTTGCACGTTTTTTTTTGTTAGATATTAAGTAATTAGTGAACTTGTGTTTGGTGGAATATTGGATGCGTGGTTAATACTGGGTGGTGTGAGGTGGGATGTTGATTGCCTGGAGAATTACATACGTTGGAGTAAACGCCCACGCTTTTACTTCATAACCTATATGTATATGTTCATAATTCAGAAATACTTCGCATTCGATCACATACGTAGTGGTAAACATATTTTTGCGAATATCTCGAAAACTGAAAAAAAACGTCTATTACCTATATGTACAGGAAAAAATTGTTCAGAATGATGACCTTGATAACATATTTCAAGGTTATTGAAATTGGAAGTGGCTCCCTTATTCTGTACAACTACCTAATTCTTTTATAACATATGTATTTTCAATATGATTCATTATTGTAATAAACAAATTTTGTGAATACCATTATTATTACTGAATTTGTATAATTAAATTATATTGATTGATTTACAATTTATCGCACATTATGAGTACCATAACAGCTTCTCGAAACAGATCAAAAATGTATTTTACAGAGATGCAATGTCCTTTAAAAAAAAATAAATTTTGGTTCTGAACAACAATGTACACATTAATATGAGTTCATAATGCAATACATTAACAGGTTTGTTTATTGTTTCTGCAAAACCATAATAATAATAATATCATTAAAAAATTATTTCACTGACCAAATAGCATATTGTCATAATGAAAAGTAACTCAGTGTTTTCATTTTTTTCAGCGCGAAAGATCTTTTCCTCCCAAGGAAAGTACGAAATAACATGGTAATCCGAATTTATTTACAGGTATCGTCGTTGGATGTTGTTTTATTTACAGGGTCACGACGGATACAGGATAACAGTTAAAATAATTTGTAATGTTACAGCTAGAAACAGATCGATTCCGTTCATTAGCAAACGATTCCCAGTACCGGTACCAACGTTGCAGAACGATTGCTCGCAGCAGTCAGTGCAAGCGTGTAATTTTGTACGTTCACCGATCACTATGCATCCAGGATCGCATTTGCTTGTGCAGTCCCTTTCTATCGACCATGTCTGAGGGCTCGACGTTGAATTCTCGGTACTGGTCGTGTAAGAAAATCGCTTCACCTGGAAAAAATGCAATGGAATATCAAAGGTAGTATCTCCCTTCCATTGCCAATTATACTTCAAATAACTTTTACACGAATGAGATGAATAAACAGTATGTACATTGAAAGCGAAAACTTTTTCGTCAAATACATTATTAGCAGACCAAGTAAATGAAACATCTTGTACGTAAGAAAGATACACTAACTGCCAAAAGTTTGGAATCACTACATAAATAAAAAGAAACAGGATATTTTTAAGAAACAAAAAAATGCACGCCTTTACGGTAACCAAGGAAACTTTATTTGTAAAGACACTAGTAAGCAATATATTTTACATCCTGTGCCATTTTTTTGCACAGTGATCGGTATTTTTTGTAAATTACCCTCGCCTCGAAAAAATCACCGTTACTTTTAATGACGGCCTGACATATTCTGCAGTAGAATCTTGGCAGTAGAATCTAATATTGTAGCACTTGGCTCATTAGATACATAAAAGAATCTCGTGTTTTTATATAACGCGACAACAGAATGTCTTTTCAGGCAGGTCACAGGCCAAACGTTACCTTAAATTGAAATTATGACTTGTACAAGATTACTTTCCACGTAAGAAAATGTTAAAATTTCACGATAAAATATATTCTAGTTAACATCTGGTATATTAACGATGGATCAGTATATAATTTGTTAAGACATTCGGTTTGGTAGAAATCAGTAAGAGAATTCAAATTTTTGGCCAGTAATGTACACGAACCAATTCCTTCTTCACATATGTTAGTAATAATTCAATGTGATATCAATAACTTCTCATATAATACTTCTAATATTATTATTAATAGTTGTTTGCGTGGTTTCCTATATAAACGGAGCAAATCAAATACTGTGTATAGCGTGAATATCGTAACAATAGAAATTTAACTAGAACCCAACTAAAAATTTAAAGAAACTCTTTTTTTTCCAATGTAACATAAAAGAATTGGAAATTTAAGTAACAACGTGGTATACTAAACTTCGTGCACGTTTCGCGTAATCAGCAACTAGTCGAATCGCTGTTATCGTTTTGTCATTACCATACAAGTCCTTTTGTCACCAGTGCACTTGTGCTCGAAAGCACTATAATTTCCGGTTAGATTGGAACATCTCTCTCCATCGTCCATTGTGTCGCAATGATAACACCATAGATCGTTCCCTCGTTCAGCAGCTGCGTGTGTTCGATGTTCCGTGGATAATAATTGACCTAGTCATCCCATGAAATCGAAAAATACGTGTTCGTTATTAAAAGAAAGATGTTTACCTACTTAATTAATTATATTATTATTTTTAGAATTTACTATAAAATACAAGCTTTTTCAAACTGAACATTCTGAAATGCATTTCGCAAAGTATTTTCATAATCGCATAAATACTCAATACATTCGTTTTATAAACTATAAATGTCTAATGCACAAATACAATTTACCGCAGTATACCATTTAATTACATTCTAATTGCAAAAGAACAATCTATAAATCAGAATTACAGATCTAAATGGAGCTTTGGTAGATAGAAAATTTCACAATATTACGACAATTTCGATTCAAACGGATTGTATGTACAGTGAAGTACAAATAAAGTGGAAACGTTAATATACACAAAAGAAAAGTCAGATTTATAGTTATTTCTAATTGATTAGGATTCAACTGATATAGTATTACTAAATACATTAATCCAAACTATAATATCTAAGATCTGTTATCTCAGTAATGAAACAAGTGTTCTTGAAAAACGAAAGCTCACCATTGGCGAGTGCAATCGACGTGATCAGGAAGCACGTGACAGCGGCACATGTCTCGGCCGCCATGTTAATGGGGGAATCAGTTCACCAACTGGAGGAATTAAAGACAGTAGCTGTCTTCTTCGAGCAGCGGCCGCATTGTTTTCGTGAATTTCTGCGGCATACAGGCCGAGCCGGATGAAACGCAACGCGGAACGGTTCGTGTCTGATCACAACCGCCATGTTGAGAGTGGCGTCTGCGCTACAACGTCCGCTGCTCTAGAAACCTCGAAACTCTGGAAAATCAATATCTATGGTAGTCAAAAGGTCCTGTCCCTTAACCGAGACCGTTTGACGTCAAACTTTCTGCGCATCCGCGTCACTTTCAGGAAGCTAAAAGTTCGATGATGATCCCTGTTGAGCTAAATCAGTCGCACAATCAGTCACAAGTGCTTTGCGTCCCTTCAATTCTTCGCGTAGGACAATGAATATGCTGTTAAAGTAACGTTTCAAAATCATTGTTGATCAGAATTTATAATTAAGTTTGAAGTAGGAAACTAAGAAGAAGTCGGAAATTAAGTAAAGTATAAATCGCACAGAGCTAAGAATTCATGGAACACGAGCACTTATGTAACTCACAGTAGACTCATTTGCAAAGGAATTCGGGAATTAGGAAAGCGGCCATATTGATGATTACGATCGATCTTGGAATGGATCCTACTGCTGACGAAGGCACCAGTACTATTTCCTTCACAATTATAAATAGAGCTCATTGTTCATTTTTCTGGAAAGTATTTGTTAATTTAACAATTTTTCCTTTATTCAGCCATAAAAAATTAGCTTAATGAAGAACAAATACAGCAGTTTAAAAGCTAATCGTATCTGTAGAGTATTCAAGTTTTCAATAGTAAACATTTGTTAGTGCTGAGATAAAATGAGTTATATATAACTTTTGCTTAGGAATGATATAAACGAAACATTTTTCGTTATACATATGTCAGTCACATACAAACTTTCATCTATATGTATGCTTTTTTTCTATCGTCTTTGTTATATTTAAATGAGGTACAGGTATCAGATTACAATATGTTAATAATACAATATCTTCCTTCAGGCTTAACCATATACTCTTATACGTCAATAAAGCATGTTAGAAACATTTCTTATACTAATGTACTAAACATTTGATTTTTCTAATCACTCTGAAAATACACAAAAGAAATTACTGATATTAATATGTAAAATATTTCGTATAGCTTGTTCACATACAGACTTTTTGTTTACATTTTTTACCTGGGAAATATCAATGATAATATATACATGATACCGATATTAAATTACTACCATAAGATATTCTGCCAGATATGAGAACAATTATTAATATTAAATTATGGCTACATATGAGATAAACTTTATGAATATTAATTTACAAGGGGATTTCATTTGGCGATCACCTACAAAATGATGATGAAATTCTTGATATTATTAGACAAATAGTTACATTTTGATCGGAATCTACAAAAATTAAAAGAAAAAAACGTTAAATATATGCAAAGTGTTCGATACATTATATTAATTTAAAAAGCATTTTAGAAAGAAATTGTTGACATTAATATACACATATTATTATTAATATTCGTCCTCGCATGTGTTTCCGAAAGACAGGATAAATAAAAGATCGTGCGTATACATTTTAATTAAAAACAGATTTTCCATCGCACGTTTCTATGATCGCTATCTCAAATGGTTTAATTATTTATTTACACAAAATAAAACGAATAAACTAGCCACAAGCGGATCGGAATAAGATAAACAAGAGTTAATAAATTTCAATCACTTTGGTGCAGTTATTTATTTTAAGTTAAATTCAGTTAACTAATATCAACAATAAGACACACAGAAATGACCGAGTAAAGAGCATTAATTCGACAGCTGAAAAAGGGCCAACAAGTTTAACGGGTACAAAGAGAGAATGGGCTAAAAAGTTGAAGAAGAGGAAAGCAGTGGCCCCGTTGAGCGAGCATTCCAAAAAGTCTCCGTCGACTTCGAGCCATTACTGGCTTCTGAAGAGCAAAAGGGAGAAAAGTTCATAGAGCAATCACTTTGATTATTGGCTCGTGCTACTGTTAATAACGATGCTCAGAATGAAACGAACGATACGAAAAATAATATAGAGCCACTTTTACACCACTAATGACAGTTTGAAACTTCCGAAGGTGGACCTGACATAGAACACATACGGACGAACCTTAGAACTAAGTCAAAGCTAAATTAGACTTTACGGAACGTAGCATCGGATTTGACATATGTACACTTAAAGCTAAGCTACAACTAACCAGAACTTAATTTAACGGTAGGCTAGAGCTAATCCATGTCTGATACAGAATTAACCAAATTTGTACGAACTGTAATACAAGATGATAATGTCTTTCTCCTTATAAAGGATTATATTTCAGGCGTTATCTTTTCTATTCAAATTTTCTATCACATAGAGGAAGTTAATATGTGTAAAGATGGTCCAATTTTAATGTTCTTTTTAACCCTCGTGTACTGTTCTGGTCAATTCGACCCAAAGCCAATGTTTCATTTTTAATTATATTTTTTATTAGAGAAATTTATAAATTAATTTAACACCAACAGCTTACATATATTATAGCCTAGCGATAGACAAATATATTTCCTTAATTAAATTTTATTTAGAAGGATAGTAATGCAATAGTTTATTGACCAGTAGACGAGAGTTATTGTTATTCTCCTTAATGTCCTAGTTTCTGACTCGACCGTATTTTTAGTTATTCCGAACTGTATTAACGTTAAATCACTCGTAGCCCGGCAGAATATTTTCAGAAATGGTGCGGAGTGGGAATTCAGTTTGTAACAGAGTTGAATCTATATCGATTTAGAACGGAACTCCGGAACATACGGTTACGTCCTTTTTGAGTTATTCACTGCTATTCACCGCTACAAACGTGCGTGGAAAATTTATTTTCCCTCGGCTTATCGCACCGCGTCGCTTCTATATTTTTCCGTTTTGAAAAAGTTTCCTGCAGTTTACCCGCATAGATGAGTTTTTACACAGCATTCGTTCGAACGTCCAGAAACACAATGTACCCGTCGAAACTTTTCAAATTGTACTGTTTAAAATCCGCGAACTTTAAAACAAACATTTTACAGGCATTTTCGCGTTTCATCCTACTAATTGTGATAAAATAATGACCTACTCATAATTAGTTTCCCTGATACAAAACTTTTAACATAAATTGCTCTATCAAGAAGTTTATTTGTTTTCGAATTACCTAACTACATTGTATATGTTAAACCTAGACTTGGAGTTTTTCTCTGGGAACAAAGCGTTTGTTTAGTTGTAACTGATAACCGTAACGAATTTTTAATTTTTAGCCGGAACATATTCGACGAAAAGGCAACTTTAGACTAAAATTAATCCTCCTTCGATTATTTCAGGACGGTTTGCTGCAGTTGCATGTTTCGTAGGGGTGAATAGCCGCGGAGAAATCGATTTCAGGTCTACAAGGGACAAGTGTTATTGCTTTCACTTGAACCTTCTCTGACAACGTACCGTCTTTACATAGACTCTTTCTGTTAAATGTTAATACATAGGAAGGATTTCCCGTTTATCGCGACAAGTCCAGTGTTTCTGGTTTGTATCCATCACCTAAATAACATTCAAGAAAGAAGTCCTTGATATTAACATATACGATCCTTCGTGTTTCTTTATTGGTATAAAGATTCATAAGCAGAAAGTTATTGACATTCAAATATACAGGATTCATCGTTTATGTTAACCACCATTATGTGAGGATAAAGTTTTTTGTAATGTGTAGGATGTTTGGTTTCTTTTTGTCACTATGAAAATGTAGGAACGAGGAACTACTTTAAGCGATGTTAAGCATGTACAGGACATTCCACTCCTCTCAATTACCTATAGAGTATTATGCGGAAAAGAATTTTCTATAGTGACGGGGAGGATATATTGTAGCAAATATGAAAATAAGCAGAAGTATTTTTAATTTATTAAAAAAAAAATAAAACACAGAGCTTACTTAGTATACAATTCTTGTTATAGAGTTATTAAAATGTACAAAAGAGGTACTAGTTGGGCTGTGGTTTTCTATTAATAGTCTAACACGTGTTATAGCGTTCTACTAATTAAATATCGGAATGTTGCAAGGGATACTTGTCATTAACTTCTGTGAGAACACGAGCAGAAACTATTTTTAGTGTATTTCATTTACATTTGTCAAGAATTGTGTATATGTGGCATTAATGATAGTGTATAATATACACTAACGTTGACATTAATTTCATTTTCGACTTAATATTCAGGATGCTTCATTTGCCATTCGTCAGTTATAAACTAATCAACAAAAGAGTTACTCACACAAATATAGAGGGCGTGTCCAAACGATTGGTACAATCGGGAATGAGCCGATTGTCTATATAAAAATAATTCATTTGCAAGATAATCAAACTGGAATATTTGTCAGGCTCGAGTGCTTTTAAACACGAGTAGTTAATGTATCTGACCATCGCGATGGCGTGTTATAACTTATATCTAGACTGCGGATTTTTATGCAAAATAACATTGTATAAAGTAATTCATGAGAACAAGAACAAAAGTAGGAAGTTCTTTTTTCACTTAAGTACCTTATTATGTTAAGGATGAAGTAGAAACCTCGTTTCATCTCATGAAACTTTTGTCTTTCATTGTATTTTATAGAGCCCTTTAAGCTATAAATGTATAAAATCCGCAGTCTACTTATATCCCACAGGCATTGCGATCTCCTCATTGTCAATCTACATAAAATCATTGTGGAAAACTAATAATATCGTGTCACTGTCAATAATTATACTTACTAACATACGCAGGTAGACAAAATCAACAATGGACAGACACAAATGCAGAATTGTATTCAAGTGTCAGACATTATACATTTGTATGGACTTACTTTTACACGTCGAATAAGATTCTTCTCTGTTCTATCACCTGTCTCACTCTTAATGTACCACCACAAGTATTCATTCTCATGATCCTGTCATATTCCAACTAAAAATCACATATTTTACACAGCCAAAGAACTGATTTCACGCAGGCAATAGGGCATTGTGAAAGATTCAATGGTCATTTATTATCACCGTGTACTGTCTCATAAATGTGAAATGATTCGCGCGATATCATATGCTCCATCCATCGTACCCTTGTACATTTGATCCCCAGGAGCAGGGGTTCCTGGCACGTACACCAGAAAGCCCAGAAAACCGTGTTTCCCTGGGCCAGTAATTGAATGGAATCCAGATGATCGGTGTTTACAGGGGAAGCAACACGTGAGACCGCCAAAAGTGGCGTCAGTGCTATCCACCCCCCTCCTCGTAAAACTGACATCGGCCGGTGGATCCAACGGAAGGTGTTTAAACGTCTGGGAATCCTCGATTTTGGTTGGCCGCTGGGCTCCGGGTCGATGGTGGAAGGGGACGCCGGGTCGCGACCAGCCTCGCAGTACCGCTTTGACTCTCACCGCGGTAGCTTCGTTCCCCTTCGTCCCTGTCGTTCGAAACGATACCAAAAGAAAAGGAACCAAGACCATGTCTTCTCTAGCCTGAGTCCAGACAGTGTGAATATTCGCGGTGTCTCCCGCGATCGCCTCGCAAAACAAACGTTCTACGAACCGCTTGCTAGAGGCGCGCGATTTTGAAAAAAAAAATAGAAAAAGAAACGGTATGCAAACAAGTGCACCTGGACAGGTGCGAACAGAAACAAGTTCCGTAGATCGTTGCACGTAAAAACTTTTTCCGTGACCGTGTGTCTCCCACCCACCGGCTTGGGCTGGTACACTGCTATCATCGTTACAGTTAAGGACCGTCGAGTTGCTTACCAACCAGGTCTGGTGAGTCAAGATTATTCTTCACTCTACGTTCCCAACGAAACTTACGATTCTCGGTCGTGTCTCGAATTGTTTTTATTGATGGTGATCTAGGGGATAGGTGAATCTGTGGGAGGGGGGGGGGGGGGGGAAAATTTTAACTGGTGTTGATGTAGAAGAAATTGAGGAGGGAACAGTGAGTTTTAATGTTCCTTGTTTCTTTGTGTTTGTGTGTTTTTGAGATTGCAGAACACTGTAACAGCAGCGTGGTAAACAATAATGATGAAGGGGTATGTTTAATATTTTTTCGATAGAACTTTGTAGTTTAACGGGATTTTTTGTAGAAATAAGTAATTATCGGTCATATTGATGTTAATTGTACTAATTTCGGGTTCTTTAGCATTTGTGGAATACTTGTCGCGAGGAAATGTTCCGTAAAACCTACTGGGAACCACATATCACAACGATATCTCGATAGGGGTGGCATGTACCTTCCAATATGTTTGTATCGGGTTGCTGCAAAATAAACGAGCGCGAGTTACTAATATCAACGTCACTACCGACATAGTATGAATTGTTGAGCTTCCTATATAGTTGTTACAGAATTATAAGGTATTATAACAAATGTCATTTTCACTGATGTATGCAAAATATGCAAGATATTTTATTTGTTCTATCCACTTGTTGTATTTTAGTTTTTTAAATTCTTCTTATATTTTCAATTTGTTGTTAGTTTTCGTTCCTATTTTCGTTTTCTTTTTTTGTATATTGTTACATATTTTTTCGTATGGAGTAATAAATATCCTATGATTATGATCTACAGAAACTGAGGAAAGAATTATTGATACTGATATACAAAATATTTAAAGTAGTTTTTTCACGGACCAGTCCTTTGGAAATATATTATTTACATTAATAACGAAAGTATTGGATTTCTCTTAATCGCGATGAAAATGTACACGAATTTTTAGATATTAATATACAGCGTGTTTCCATTCATTTGCAAGTTATTTTAAGAGGATATTATTGAAATTAATATAGATACCCAATTGAAAAATTTGTTTAAATAGGCTTGATTTCGCGCGTCTCTATTACGACCTACTTCAATTAAACTTCTTTTATTGTATCCCTTGAAAAGACAGAACAAATTTGAATTTGACAATTAAATGTACATTTAAACCTGCTTCGATCGAGTATAAATTAAATAACAAAATTGTATCATAGAACGGAAAATAACAGTGAACTTAATAATAACAAGAATTATATGTTGTGAATTCTATGAATATAATACTAATAACAGTGAAATTAAATAATATATTATTGTAAATGATACTTGACACATCTGTACCTCAGCAAAGGCCGCGTCTGACGTCAATTTTATTAAACGAAACAAAACGAGTTTACGTTTAATCTCGGAACATCGTCGGGTCTGAAATTCCAATTTCCAACTTCTAGGATAACGCTGTTCTATAATGCAACGGTGGCCGCAAAAAAATGAACGAAACTGATAGAAGCGAGTAACGGGAGTCCGTAAATCTATTTTATTTTCCTGCAATCGATTACCTGGACGTTTAATTTCGCTTCTGTTTTCGTTTTTTCTCCAATTCATTTAAGACAACAATCGCAAAACTGCATATCGATCGCGGAAATCCAATCCTCGTCGTAAATCAAGTTGGTTAAATAAGTTTAAGCGTGAATTTTCTGAAATTGGATTTCGCGAATCCACTACGAGGTTGTCGATTTTGTAAAATATTCTTACCTATTCGGATAATCGAATGTTATTAATATAGAGAATGTTTCATTTATTGTGGCACATATAGTGTTTGATTTATGTTGATTGCGTGGAAAGTATGTTCATCGTTACAAAAATTATTGAAAAACATTTAATAATTTTTTATTTTTTAGTTAGTTTAGAATGAACTTCTTTCGGTTAGTTTTAAATTAACTACAATAAATAACGTATTCCAGTACAGCTTGTTTCATATAGCTTATCCAGTTAACAAATATTCGAGGAAAAAATTTTCGATATTGCTGCATAGGAAATTTCCTTCCTTTTGAGTGGTACAAATTTATATGCAAATTGAACTTCGTCGTTAATGACCTACATAGTAGATAACGCGACGTAAGGGAGGAGAAAAAGATCATATTCGAATGAATTGATATTAATATACAGGATTTTTCATAAATCTTGTTCACTTACAAAGTGTTTCAGAAACAAATCTTTAATACTTACAGCTTTGTAACAGTGGTATACGAAGTCAATGATATTAATGTATACATAGAGTGTTTCGTATGCTCTGTTCACATGAAAGTATTTTAGTTATTTTATTCAGTCAATTACATAAATAATAATTATATTATATAATCAATTATATGAAGAACCATTAATATTAACACTTACGAAATCGACAAAGTTAAGGCTGAAATCACTTTGTTCGACGAGAATGAATTTGAAATTATATTTCCACCATCACTTCACGAAAAACGTATATCTTTCCGACAGTTAAAATACACTTTAAAATAAAAATTGAAGACATGGTGCTGATAGTACATCTCCCTATTTACGTATTCATTACACTGTGAAACGGGTAGATCTATCTGCCTGGTTGCTAAGGTGATAATGTACAGGGTGGTTCACTTGAAATTATCGTCTTGATTCACGTTAATACTGTTACCTGTAGAAAAACAAGATGAAATTACAGTTGTATGGTTTTAAGGGGGGTATAAGATAGATCAAACGAAATTGTTCTAGCTGAAGGCACTTTAGGAATTCGTCGGTGATTTTTTATTTTTAATAAGAGAACGCATGTTTGTTTGCAGCAAAATTGTAGTATATTTTTCTCTGAATACAGGCATCACAGATTTTTACAATGAAGGTCTATAATTGAAGGTACTAATTTCAAACGACCTACCCCATATGTCGACGTTAATATAAAAAGTGTCTTACTGTTTTCAACCACGTAAAAAGTGTGTCACTTCTCGTGATCATTATGAAAACGAGTAAATTTGATCAATTTTGTCCTGTTCAGTCACAAAAGCATCGAGGAGAACGTTTGTTCGGTTACCGAATACTTTGCAGAATATTAATATACACAAAGTTTCTTTATTCTGATCATATTTGCTGACGTCAATACGAAATTTGTTTGACCCATCGCGACGCTCGCCACGTGCCACCATAAATGAGACGTCCTGTATGTGAACATCGGTTATTTCTTCGTCGCGAAATATCACGTAGAGACGTAAAACGATGTGTAATTACGCTGCATATTGCGAACATTCGATCGGTATTTAAAATGAAACATCTACTCGAGCTCTGCGAATCCGTTAAAAATCGTACCAGACAATTTAATTAAATGGGTTATTAAATGATTGCGTTTTGTAGCGTTGTCTCTTCATCGATTGTTCAGGTTGTACGATGCTTTTAATTGGACGACAACGTGTATACGCCTAACGCAATATTCACTTGCGTGCCCGTTACGCGTTCATCGGTAAATTAATGGCGGTGTTCGGTATTAGCCTTGGTAACGAATGGAATTACTGGCCACCCTGCTGGTTAATATTGCTAAATTCAGGGAAATGTTGCATTTCGTTAATGGCTAAATATCAGACCTAACCGTATATCTGAAACAAATATTTTTAATATTATACAGTCACTTTCAATTATCTCCACCATTTGTTGATTTCTCTTGACTACTATGAAAACACATAAGGAAGGAGTTCTTAATATTAATATACGCAGTGGTCCTCTTATCTTGACTAATGCATAATATACGCGTGGAATAACGTGTTGACATTAATGTACAGGATGCCCGTTTTCTTTTGATCCTATACAAAATGTACGGGGAACAAGTTATTGATTAACAGGATACTCACGATAAAGATATAGGGTGTTCAGTCTTCCACTCCATGTAAAAAGTGTCTGACAAGTTCACCTACGGGTGGTATTTAGGATGATAAAAAAAGAAGTCTAAGGTTTTAGGGGCTTATAGTATTCACCGAGAGAAGTAAAAAGGGAAAAAATCAACATAGGTTCCAAAATAAATCCTTTCAATGCAAAATCAACTTTCATATTTATGAGCGTTCGACATCATAAATGAGTCTGTTTGTATATTATTGAATTTGAACAGGAAAATTTATTTGAAAGTACATTAATTCAAGGTTGTACGAAAACAGGCAATACAATATACGGAAAGAATATTTAAAAGTATACGTCGATCTATGATCGGCAAATGTTAGTTTTACATCAAAGTGAAAGAAAGACATACGGAACATCTGTAAAAAGTGTGAAACCAAACTTTTGTTTTTTATTTGAAACAATTAATTTTTGAAAAATTAATTTTCCGACTTATATTGGTTGGACGTTTTGTATTCTCCTCGATAAATACTATTAGCCCTTAAAGTCTTAGATCCTTTTTTTTGTCACCTTGTATAATTCACCGATATGGGTGACACCATGTCTGGTTTACGAATAAAAATTAAATTTTATTGTAAGACACTAATTAAAATCAGATTAATGAACGCCCACGAGATTCAAAAGGATTAAAGAAATACCCACTGTGACAAATTGAAGTTTGTCAGTTGTCGTTTCATTAAAAAATTTGCTATAATATGGTGAAATTTTGATGAGTGTTTCTCTGGCAATCATCATTTTAATACAATCAGTATATTGGGTGAGTGCATAAAATTTTGATGGATTTTCTGCAGATGATCGTCGTGGTTATGCAGAATCAATAAACAATTACGTTAATATGTTATGTGTCGACATCAATGTAAAACATTGAATTGCTATTTGGAACAAAAATTGACGTGATTGAGTGTGTCTTATTATTCAAAATAAAATTAAAATTGAGCTATTGAAAAAAAATTGAAAATGAAGGAAATAAATGTTACAAATACCGTAAAAGCCATTTGTGATATGATTAGAAAAGCTGTTATATCAATGCCACTGTACAGTAAACTGTGAATTTATTAATGCAACATAATTATATAAATTGAATAGATAGCAATATTCAAAAAATTTCTGT